GTAATAACATTGAAAAACTTCTTTCAATTTAAAACTATGCACAAAAAATTTTGTCAAATAGACCCACTAAACTTTTGAGTCCACATAAATAATAATTAGCGCATCAATTTTATATCCTAGTAAACTTTTTTCAATAGTAAACTTTATTTTCATATGCATGTATAATCGTATTGAATTATATAAAGATAAACTCTTAAACTTTATGGGAAAAAACTCTTAAACTTTAAATTATTTGAAGATAAATTATAAATAAAAATAATAATATGAACGCTATGAATGTAAAATTTTATGAATATTTATTGTAAAATAGGGAGATTATTAATATACTACCTCTGGTCCATAATATAAAACCTGTTTGAGTTTTATTTTGATCCTAAGTATAAGAATCTCAATCCATTTTGTTTTGCATATTTATCCACTTTTTTTAAGATAATCCTTCTAAGAATAGTAGTTCTAGATAATAAACTTGATTAGCAAGAATATTTTGGGAAAAACAACACATATTCATTACAAATAACTAACTTAACTAAATTAGTTAACTGAGTCTTATGATTAGCACTGGAACTAGTATAAGATAAGATTCAGCAAATTTCATATATAATTTAACCTAATACTGCTTTTCATTGATTTTAAATTATTGTAGAAAATAAATTTTCAAAAACGATGTTTCGGATACAATGCTAGACTGCTAGTCTTACGCCGACGTGAAAACTTACGAGTTTGGCAAGTGTGGAATTTTGCTGTGGAAATACAGAAAGCTAATGCCCCGTTTGGTAGCATGGAATTGGGCCTGGAGAAGTGGAAGTAGAAGTGGAACTCTGCTTTTGACTCGTTTGGTGTCATGGAACTCAGTTCCTCATGGAACCCAGTTCCATCAAAAATGATGGAAGTGGGTTCCATCATCCCCCCCAAGGAACCGAGTTCCAGCTCCTCGGAACTGGGGGTCTTCCCATTTTATCCTTTGGCTCCATGGCAACCTTGATCCTCCCCCATCAACGGCGGCGACATTCCTCCACCATCAACGGCAGCGACGCTCCTCCACCTGCGCCGATCCTCACTACACCATTGATGGGTTCGTCTGAGGAGAGAAGGGGGGCAAGAAGGGACGAAGGCAAGTGACCCATGAGAATAACCTCCCACACTCCAGACCACAGCTTTGTTCGACGGCGACCTTGACAACTTCCTTCACAGAGAAAACCAGGCGCATTGTCGACAACAAAAGAGGGATGTTTGACGGCGGTGAGAGAGAGAAACGATTGAGAGCAAGAGGTGGTTATGGGCTTCGATGGAATTTTTTTTCTGCGATTTTCAACTTGCTTTTTCAAAAAATCCATCATCTTTGCTGGTCTGGTTTGTGTTTTTCAGTGATGTAGCTCTTGGAATCATTAGCTTCAAGCCACGAATTTTATGGCCACCATTGATGGCGGCGAAGCTTTGTGGGTGGTGGGAAGAAGGAGTGTCGGCTAATGGAGTGATGGGTTTACAGTTTTTTCCTTTTTTTTAGTTTAGGGGTATTTTGGTCTTTTTACATTGAAAATATATAAATTAATGCAACAATTTCACCAACATACTAAACACACTTTAAAACCCACTTCCATTTCCAGTTCCACTTCCACTTCCATTTCCAGTTCCACTTCTATTTCCATCAGAAACTCTTCCATTGTACCAAACAGGGCATAAATCCTTTCAAACAATTCCAGTAGAAATAAGGGGGGAGGAGGTGAGCACAAGGTGGATAACCCCTGAAAAGGACTGGGTTAAAGTTAATTCGGATGGTTCAAGCATGGGAAATCCAGGACGAGCGGGATGCGGTGGGGTGATTCGAGACCACCATGGGGCTTGGATCGTGGGTTACTGTAGAGATGTGGGATGGAGCACAGCCTTTGAAGCAGAATGTTGGGGGGCGGGTGAAGGAATAGAGGTGGCGAGGAAACTGGGTTTCAAAAAAAATTCATCTTGAAACTGACTTGAAGAGCTTCTTATGCTTTGAAAGGGAAGGAGATTGAAGGAGGAAAACCGCCTAATTGTGTGAGGATGATGAGAGAGGCTGTCGAACGCTGCAAGCAATTAGATTTTCTCTTACTCGCAGATCGGGCAACCAGTGTCCTGATGCTATGGGAAAGTTGAGTCTTGAGAAAGACCTGGGAAGAGAATGTCGATTATTCTTTGAGATTCCTCAGGAAGTTGTGCGTGTGGCAAGAGATGAAGAAGCGCAGATGATCTGGAGAGAGACACGGGTTGAGAATAGTAGTTTTGTGTTGGTTTTGTCTTTTCTTGTTTTAGGCCTTGGCCTCCATACTACCAAAAAAAAAAAAAATACAGGCAATTTTGGCAACATCGTGGCCACATCATCATAAAACGCATAAATATTAAACATAAAATTATACGAAAAATGAAAATTTTCATGGTTTCACTTTCATCCCCGCCACATCTTCTTCCACCCAGAAGCTCTTTTTATCTTCGTGGACATACTTGCACAATGCAGATTGTGGCGAAGCTTGATAGCCTTCAGAAAACATGTCAGGTTGTGCTTCATTCTCCTCCACAACTTCCCACCTCAGAACCCTTCCCTCTTCTCTTCCGTCCACCACCATATCTCCTTGTCCTTCCCTCCGATTTTCCCTCACTTTCCGGGAAAATGGAAAACAGGTCGCACCCACAAGCACCTCTGTCCAAAAACGCAATCTTGTTTCATCGAGGTCTGGTAGATTTGTGGTGAAATCCCAGGCCACTAGTGCTCCTACTTCTTCTGAGTCTGTCCAAGTCACACCCGTGCCTTCCCAAATGAAGGCATGGATTTATGGAGAGTATGGGGGAGTTGATGTTTTGAAGTTCGATTCCAACGTTGGTGTGCCTGATTTTAAGGAAGATGAGGTGCTCATTAAGGTTGTCGCTGCGGCTCTTAATCCCGTTGACGCCAAGAGGAGGCAGGGCAAGTTCAAGGCTACTGATTCTCCCCTTCCGGTAATGTTGTTTCTTTCAATTCAATTCTTTAATTTATGTTTATGTGTAATTTTTAGTTGTTTATTATCATACATAGATTCTGGGGAGGAGAGTCTCAGAAATCTTTAGCAGATTCTTTAAATAGAACATATAGAGGAGTTGTTTGTTTTGTTTCTTAAGGAATTAATCATGAAGCAAGGAGTTAGAGAAAAGCACACTTGTCATGTTATAATAATTATAAAAAAAAAAAATGGCAAACATCTTGAAGTGTATACATAAGTTTTGTCAATTCTAGGAAGAAGCATTGGAATTTGTGTTTTCTTTTCTTTCCAGTTACTGGATGAATATTAGAAATGGATTTATAATATATGGAGTTAAATTCATATGTCATTGTGAAGTTTCTTACAATTGAAGCTACAAGTAGGGTAATTTTGACAACGAGCCAAATGTCTGACTGAAGTCACTGAACTGATAGATCTGGATGTGCTGACAAAATTATGTTTCCAAGTTAAATTTATATGACATTGTTTTTTCCCATTTCAAACCTAATAAGCTGGAAAACTTGAACCAATTTCTTGATTATGCATTTTCCATTTAGAATGTAAATCATTTGTCGCTCGTTTCAACTGTAGACTGTTCCAGGTTATGATGTTGCCGGAATAGTTGCAAAGGTTGGTAGTCAAGTGAAAGACTTCAAAGTGGGTGATGAAGTTTATGGGGACATAAATGAGAAAGCCCTTGAGGGGCCTAAGCAGTTTGGAACTCTGGCAGAGTATACTGCTGTTGAAGCAAGACTGTTAGCACCAAAACCTAAGAATTTGGATTTTGCTCAGGCTGCTGGTCTTCCTCTTGTGATTGAGACAGCGTATGAGGGTCTGGAGAGGACCGGCTTCTCAGCCGGTAAATCTATTCTTGTTCTGAATGGTTCTGGTGGAGTTGGAAGCCTAGTGATTCAGGTATTTGCTTTTAGACAACATCAGCAAAATATTCAAGAATCTGCCTCTGAGAATCTGCAATCACGTATATCTTATTTGCATCAACTTTTTGAAATAAGTTAGAGAATCTGCCTGAGACACTGAGCCAGTGCCTAAATCGTTTCCCTAAGGATTCAGTTTGCTCAATTCATTTCATCTTTTCTGCTATTACTGATCTTTCAGTTATTCATGACCAAACTCCGTTTATTTGCAAATGGTGGTGCTTGATGGTTTATTAGTCATCGTAACATCTTGATTCTTCTACACTGCATTGAGTTTTTGTATGAAACTCAGCTTCTCTGTGGCTTATTTCAAGCATCCCACTTTTTGTCAACAGCTTTAGTATGACAGTTAATGGATTTTAGTTTTCCGAACTATCTGTAGTGTTTTGGCATAGCTAATAGTTCACAAATGATATAAGATCATTTTCTGTGTTTGTACTGTGTAATCATGCCCTGCATAAAGAAAGAAAGAAAAAATTCTAGCTGACTAGAATTATAGAATTTCACATTTGATTCCAGATTCCTGCCTGTTCTTTTAGTAACTTGATATTCTTTTTATTGTCTTTGCTATCTTTCAGCTAGCTAAGCATGTTTTTGGCGCTTCGAGAGTCGCTGCCACAGCAAGCACTAGAAATCTGGATCTGCTGAAGAACTTGGGTGCTGATTTGGCTATTGACTACACAAAGGAGAACTTTGAAGATTTGCCTGAAAAATTTGATGTAGTTTATGATGCCATTGGTAAGATTTTGTTCACACTTTTCCTATAACCTGTTCCTTATTCCATGCAAGATTCTCAAACAGCTTGGACAAGAATTAATGAAGTAGACTTCACTCGATGTGTCAATTTCTACTATACCTTACATCGCACTAACTTGTCAAGACACACTTTTTAGTAGGATTTATCTCAGTCCACTTTAAGTCTGCTTAATAATCTCTCTTTCTCTGTTGTTGTGATTTGAAGGGCAATGCGACCGAGCAGTGAAGGCTGTAAAAGAAGGAGGCAGTGTCGTGGCACTGACCGGTGCCGTGACACCACCCGGCTTCAGATTTGTTGTGACGTCAAATGGAGAAGTTCTGAGGAAACTGAACCCTTATTTGGAGAGTGGGAAGGTAAAGCCAGTTGTGGACCCTAAAGGTCCATTCTCCTTTGCTCAGGTTGCTGATGCCTTCTCTTACCTTGAAACCAATAAAGCAACTGGCAAAGTTGTTATTCATCCAATCCCATGAGGAAGAAGGGGGGGGGGGGAAACAAACATGAAAAGAGAGAGAGAGAGAGGGCATTTTGGTGTGTAATGTATCTTGTGATGTTCACGCTATGAGTAAATAAAAGTCGAGATCAGAAACTTTTCGGTCAAAAAGAACAAAAAAGTTGGGATCAGAAACAAAGAATGTGCCTAACAAACAAATGGACAAGTGTAGTCCATGTCTAATTATAAGGGAAATTACGAATAGTTTCCAAGAAAGGGTTTATTTTTAAGTAAATCTTGTGAATTGGGTCAACAAGCTGTTGGTTGAAGTGACAAGTGGTTTCATACCTGTAAAGAGGAGAACACAAATTCGAATATTAAAAAATACATGTTGAAAAAAGTAAGTAAAACTCTTGATCAACTCCAAACAAAAAAATCTCGTGAATTTGAAAAGTTATCATGAAGTTTTTGGGGTTTGAGTGTAAATAAGCATGCATCAAAGAGTCTAACTAAAATGCCCTTCGCCCACCCCCATGACAGGACATTCATCGGGCTTTGGCTGTTGACTAGTCAAGTGTTGATGAGTGGCTAGCAATTGTAATTTCCCCTTTCTTCTTCCTTCTTGTTTTGTGCTTTGGGCTTTTGTGCATTTGCAGGTTTTCTTACTGGCTGTGTGATAATTTGGCGAAAAACACTTGTTAGTGTTGGGCTTATTAGGTGTAGAACCAGAATAAAACTCACATTGTTTTTTGGTAGAAATCAGGTGGTATCCCCCACCAATAGCTAGAGGCTAATTCTCCTAAGGTGTAGTAAGATCACCGAAGTGGATTTTGCCTCTCCCAACCCAACAAAGCCTTTTCCATGCACACGGCCTAATTCGAACCCAATATATTATGTTTAAAAGACCCATCCATCTACCAACTATGTTAGGCTTTGTTGGTAAAACTCAAAATTTTTTTTTTACTAGAAATAAAAGTCATATTCTTTTCATACAAGTACTGGTTTTGTTAGATATTAGGAGACAATTTTGTTAATTAAAATAATCTCTTATTAGATGGAAATCAAATTCGGCCGTTGGCTAATGATTTGTTGAGGGGTTTTGAATATAAAAACCAGTGACGTGAATATTAAAAAAAAAACCCTTTTTAACATTAATTTTCTTATTATAAAACTCAAATTTGAGGCTTCACTTGAACAGGATAAATGTTTCACCATTTGAATAAAAGTTAAGGTGCAATTTTAATAACAAAGTTTACCCTAAGAGGTATTAGGCACCATAAAGTTTATTTAGATGTAAAAATACATGCAGTTATCAAAAGGGGGCATCTGATACCACGCCGTTAACGTCCGTTTAATTTACCGTTAAAGGGTCCACAGAGTCAATTTTACGGTGTATTTTTAACATCAAAGTTTACATCAAGGGGCATTAGGCACCATATAATTTACTTGGATGCAAAAATATACATGACCTTTCTAAAAGAGAAAACAAAAACAAAATTCTCCAACTCCCATAAACGTCCATTAATTTTATTTTATTGGGTCACACTAAATATCACTTTTTCTCTCTACTGATTCCTACTTCCTCTTCTTCTTAGTATAAAGGATAAATTTGAAACAAAATTAAAGAAGTAAAACAATTGCAAAAATATAGCATATAATACATGATCTCTCTACAATATTTATATGCATTATTTTATTATATATTAGTTTATAGGCCAAGAAAATTAATTTGAAGAAAAACGATAAATATAATACTTTAAAGTAATTTATTTAATTTTTTAGTCTCTTCAAATTAGTCTATTACATCCTATATTAAGGATTAGAGATAGTAGTTGGGTGCAACTGATAAACCTCATATCCTAGAAGGGAAAGGCATTGTTTTGCATAAATATATATAAAAGGCTTAGAGGCGGAGAAAACGACAGGACAAAGAGAGTGTGCATGTTAACTATGATGAGAGAAAGATGGATCGACTTGGAAGTGAAAATTGATGGAGAAAAATATAACATTTGGTAAGATCCAAAAGAATAAAATTAATGGACGTTAATGGGAGTTGAAGAATTTTATTATTTTTTCTTTTTAGAAAGTTCATATATTTTTGTACTCAAGTAAACTTCATGGTGCCTAATGTCCCTTGATGTAAACTTTGTTGTTAAAAATATACCTTAAAATTGACTTTGCGGATCCTTCTAATGGTAAATTAACGGATATTATCGACGTGGTATCAGATGCCCCCTTTTGATAGTTTATGTATATTTTTGCACCCTAATAAACATTATGGTGCCAGTGTCCCTTAGGATAAATTTGTTATTAAAATTACATTTAACCCTTTGAATAAATTGTGGGTTTACTAATAAAATACGCAAATTTCAAAAATATAAGTTATTGAACTTTATTGCTGGCCGAAATGGTGATCAGCTCGGGGGCTTACAAGTACGGCCACAAGATCTGGAATAGGGACTTGGACGGCTCGTTGGAGGAAACAAAAGGACGTCGTTTTGTTGGCTGCAAAACGGCATCGTTTGGTCAATCCTAATCCTATGATATGAGAGACATGAGACAGCCATGTTGAAAACAGAAAGTGAAAAATGAAATGAAGCTAATTTGGGATGCCGCAACTCAGACAGAAAGAGAAGAAGAAATCTTGAAGTCGAGATCCCACAAGTCGAAGGTTCCTTTAATGAAGTCGTAATGGGCACCCTTCAATGTCAGTGTCTTCTTCAAAAGCCCTTCTCTCACAAATGGATACGTCAACAAGTTCCCCAGCGATACATTCACTGCTTCCTGCATTTTCATCACCATACCAACCAACATTATTGTTCCATTTCAAGTTCAGAGAAGGTCTGGGCAAATTCCGAACGACATAGCTTGGACAAGATTCGGACGATTCTCTAGCCGAGGTCGCAACAAGTTCTGAACAAGATATAATACACACGCATGCACGTACCTTCTCACAGTTGGTGCACTGGTCGTCAAAACTTAATTTCTTGTTACTGTCAGCTCTAATTCTGGACCTTGCAGGGTTACAAATTTGGACCCATTGCTCTATGAAATCACTGTGACATTAGCCTCACAGGGTCATGTTTTCTAGGATTGTTCAAGATAAAGGAAGGGAGCAATATTAACACAAATATACATATATATATATATATATATATATATATAGAGGCTTACGAGGAAGTGGTCCCGTCATCAGGGATAGACATGAGCCCTTTTATCCCCCCACAGCAGCTATGTCCCATCACCACAATATTCTCCACCTACATACATATATAGTTTTCATGAGATTCTGCTTTATATATATAAATATATATTATATTTAATTATGATTATATAGGCAACATATTTAAGAATGTGAAATGAGATTAATATATGTGTACCTTCAAATGTAAGACTGCGTATTCAATGGCTGCTCCTGCTCCTGCATACTTGGTCTGCAACAATAGTCATAATAATAATTCTTCAACATGGAATTGGGAAGAAAAACCTAGCTATATAGAAGGAGAAGGAGCAGGAGAAGACCTTGTCATAAGGTGGGACCATGTTGGCGATATTTCTGACGATGAAGGCTTCGCCGGGTTGGAAATCCAGAACATGCGACGGACATACTCTAGAGTCCGAGCATGCAAATACCATAAACTGCAATTTCATTCCCCAAAATACAATTTTATGCATTTTCAAACAAATTGATCTAAATATTAGTCTTCTGGTCCTAAATATAAGATCCTTATATACACTAGTATAATGGTCTTATATTTAGAACCGGAAGAGTGCTAATGCATTACGGTGTTTATATACCAAAAGAAACAGAATAATTAAAGAATCGTTTGGAATGGCTTATAAGTTCAATTATGATTTACGGAATATAAAATCCCCGCAATCGACCGGAACTATTGGGACCACGTAGATGATATGTGGGTGTGGTGGTTTTGATTCAGAGAATGCATAGAATTGCTCACCTTTGGACTCTGCCCTTTTGCAAGTTGCTCAAACATGCCTCGATTCTTCCTGCCAATAATTACCCATAATCAATCAAATCCCATTTTCATTTCTCACCAATAATCCAGCCTTCCTTTAATGTCTTGTGAGATGTCCCAACCTCAACCTCCCAGATGTTTTTCCCTTCTGTTTTTAGTGTGAGTGTGATTTTGATATAACTACCGTGATGAATTTTTTTTTGTTTTGTTTTTGTTTTTAAGGAATAGAGGCTCCAAACCTACGGTTGTTGCCAGAAAACTACTGTGTCAAAGGAAGAGAAGAGAAAAAAGAAAGGTACTCGAATTTTTCTGTCCTGAAATAATGGAAGCCGGTTTTGATCCTCAGGTCCGGATTGAACGGGTTCTCACCGATGGCCTCTAGCTCCGTCGTCAACTGCCTGATCTTTGCGGCGGCGATGCCTCCCAATTCAACTTTCTCGCTGAAACCAGTTTTAATAATAAACACAAAAATAACACAAACCAGCATTAGTCAGGCTTAGTGTGGGCCCACGAACCGAACCATCGGTGGGATTTAACATCCTAGGAAATTAAAGAAAGAAACGAGGATAATTTTGAAGAGATGGATACAAGACGATTCGAGAGCGCTTCATGTACCTGAGAAGCTTGGTCAACCCAGCAATGGCGTCGTATGACTCTTGCGATGCCATGTCTTATTCTTTCTGCTATTATTTCACCCAACAATTAATTAATCAACAGTCAATCCTAGACACAATCAAAATAATTTAAATACTCGAAATAATTCAGCAGAGATTATTGATTAGTGCATGACACTTATTAGAGAAACAGACTCATGTAGCTAATAGGATGGGGAAGAAGATGAAGAAGAAGAACAAGAAGAAGCAGATCAGATAGATTCAGGCCGGACGTACGGAGGAAAGAAAAACAGATCAATTATAGAGACGTCCAAATAATTATATGAACCAATCACAGAGACAAACACAGTGATGAGGAAGAAGAAGAAGAAGAGACCTTTGGTAGAGAGAAGAGGAGAAATGGTGAGAGAGATGAGGAGTATGGAGGGAGGGGAAAGGATTATATAGGGAGAGAAGGGAGAAGAGAGGAGTTACGCATTGTGAGGCACACAAGGCGGGTCTTAACTCTGAATAATTATCATGCACAAGAATCAACCACCATTATTATACTTTAATTTTCTTTTTCCTTTGTTCTTTTTTACAAATTCTCCTCATTAATGATTTTGGATTCTGCCTTCCCCTTTTTATTTAATTTATTTAGAGATGCTTGCTGTTCATATATATATATATATATATGTATGTATGTATATGACAACATTGCTGTTCATATATAAATTGACTAAATTGAAATTCAATTCTCCATATTTAATTTATAAACAATACTCGCTTTTCGTATATATATTATGTCAGGTTCTCTAATTACATATGACCATGTGTTCTATTTTTAAAATATTAGCATTTAATAATATTTAATTATAATTCACATGAAACAACAAAAAGGACACATAATCATCTGTGATTGGAAAACTTAACATCATGACTTATATCAAATTTTTTATATTCATTATGTCAAGTTTTAAAATCACACATGCATATATGTTCTATTTTTAAAATATTATTATTTAATTATAAGCTCATATGAAAAAGAATTTTACATCACCATGTGTTATATAAAGACTTGACTGATAAATTGATGTTGAAAGAAACTAACGTTAACCGTAAGACAGTGATATGGACTGTTAATATTTTTAATAGGAGGAAGCAATATTGTTACGATTTTAAACTTTTGAGATAAATTTGCACCCAAAAAAGTTTTGAAATACCTAACGCTCTTGAGCAAAATCTTCTTGAATAAATTTATACTTTAACCCATTATTTTAAATATACATGCGCGTAATATATATAAATAGTTCACTTGGGTGGCATGTTTAATTTTAAGGGTAGAAGTTAACACTCATCCGCTCCACAATATAAGTTTTTTCTTCTAAAATTTGTTTGATTCTAAGTATAAGTCTATTTTAGTGATATATAAAATATTTTTCTCTATTTAATATGTAATTAATTTTTTGGGAAAAGTGTAGTTTTGACTTTTGATAAGGGTAGATTTACAAAGTACTCAATATAGTTTCATATCTATGCTCCTTTTATGGTTCTATTTTTAACACAAGCTTAAAAAAATTTAACTTTTATTTAAAATTTAACAACTTTTTAATTTTATTATTTAATATACATTATGTTACATGAAAACAAAATCAATACAATAACAAGTTAAGAGTAAAATTATACATTCATATAAATAATTTCTCTTTGCCCTATGTATAGGACTAAAAAGTATATTTTAAAAGATTTTATCAGTCTCTTTTTGTAAAGTACTCTCTCTTATGAAAAATATAAACATACAAACCTTGAAAGAACTTAGTTATTTTATAAGCTATAATTTAGATTTATTTGATCATTTAATACATTTTTTTATTTTTATTCTTAATTAATTATATACTTCTCTCTTTTTTTTCTCACTCTTTCTTATCTTTTTTTCTCACTCGTTCTCTCTCCCACTTATTCTGTCTATTAAAAAAAATGTTAGAAAAATAAGTTACACTTTTTTTTTAACATGTTTATTGTTCATAACAATTTTAACCAGTTTCTTTTAGTCATATAATTTAGTTATTTGATTCTTATGTTTTGAACGGGATGGAATATTTAATAGTTTTAAGGAATAATTCTTTGGTACTACTTTATAAGGTAGGGAGAGAATTAATTTTTTAGTTTTATTTATAAGTCACATCATCAAATCTTTGCTATGAACATACATATTTATCTTTCATATATTATTGTGTTTTTCTCATAGGATATAATGTATATTAAGTTGGGATAAAATTAAAAATTTGTTAGAGTTAATGAAGTTTAATATTTTTCTTAGTCTATATGAAACATATTAGAAGTTATTTATAAATAAAAGTAGAAGAGTATTAATTTTTTCTTTCACAACTACTATTTCCTTTTGTCTCTAAATATAAATAACATTCATAAGTCATCTTAAATTTTTGTGACAGATTTTCTATTTTGTATCTGTTAAAGACTTATTTTAATAGTTAATATATTTATTATTTCCCAAAACATCATTCCTAGATAATAAATATTATAAAGATTATATTTTAATATAATCTCCCTCCTATCACACATTCTCTCTTCTATCATTCTCTTTATTATAAGAATAATTTTTTTATTATCTTTCTTGTACTATCTTTCCCATAAATAAAGGTATTTTAGAGAAAAAAATTTCAAATGTTTATATATTTATTATCTTTAACAAATTTTGGCCAACTTTTGATCTACATGATTTAGTCCAACATTACTTATAAAAGAGGATGGAGGGAGTATTTTAATAAGGAAAATGGGAAAGATTAAAACTTAATATGATGTTAGAGATTAAGGTTTTCTTTATCTATGTTCCGAATGATTGCTAAATACTCCCTTCATTTTTTAATAGGATAAACAATAGAACTAGGTAGATTAAAAAAAAAACTGATTAAAATTGGTTAAAGGAGCAACAAATGTGCAAAAAAAATGCAGCTCATTTTTTTTAAAAAAATCTTTATCCATGGAAAAGATGGGTGGAAGTGAGAATGAGAAAGAAAAAGGCATGAAAAAAATAGTGAGAAAAAGAGATGAGAATGACATGTAATTAATTAAGAATTAAAATATATATAAAAAATATATTAAATGTTTAGACATCTTTAAATTGTAACTTATGAAAAGAACATATTCAACCAACAAGCTCTAGATTATTAAAAAAAATTAAGGGAGTGACTCTATAAATATATATATATATTGTGTGTGTGTGTAAAAGGAAAGTAAGGGAGATCAAAAACATGTGTTGATGATATGGGGTGGAAAGGAATTGAGACGTACAAAGCTTAATAATGGGCGTTATACGAGTCTCCGCGTCTGTGTGGCCTCGAGTTCAGAACTTGCATATATGGTCCTACTGAAACAACGCTCCCCTACTCTCACTTAACTGTGGGAACTTGATAAACTGTGGGAGCATGAGAAATTGATACCTCCAATGCCTAATAATGGCACTCTGTGCTTGACAAAATAATAATAATGGCACTATGTGATTATCCTTTAGACCCCAACTATTCCCCCTCCAATACTACTTATAAGGGTATAGAGAAAATTTTTTTTGATTCCTATTTATAACGTAGAAAGAGAAATTTTTTATCTGAATAAACAATTTTATCCTTTATTTATTATTGTATTGACTTTGTTTTATTGAAGTATAATTTATAGTATTAAATATGGATAAAATTAGAAAGTTATTGAATTTTAAATAAGAATTAATGAAGTTTAAGATTTTTCTTAGTCTGTATGAAAGATATTGAAAGTAATTTATAAATAGAACCAGATGCGTATTAGTCATTAGTTATACTTTTTAAATTATTTTAAAAAAAATAAATTTAGAGTACGAGCACACTTCCTCCGTCATTTTTTAAAAGCAATCTTGCATTAAATTACGTTGATAAAAAAGTTAGTTAAAATGGGTTAAAAACAATAAATGTATAGAAATTATAATTTTTTTCTTTAAAATATCTTTATTTATGGAGGAGGGATATAAGAAAGAGAATAAAAAAATTATTATAATAAAAAGAATTAATAAAAGAAAGAGAATATGTGATAGAAAGAGATTATATTAGAATATAATCTTCAGAACATTTATTATTTAGGAAATAGTGTTTTAGAATAAACAAATATATTAATTATTAAAATAATTTTTTAATGTTGACAAAATAGAAAAATCGCTATAAAAATTTAAAACAATTTGCAAACACTACTTATATTTAGAAAAAGGGGAGGATAATGCTTATTGCTTATAAAAAGAGACGAAGTACTATTCTGATATTTTCTTTTTTTTGTTGACAACATACTATTTTGATGTTATTCATGAGCTATTTTTAACATGTTTAATCAATAAGAATTAGGAAAAACTCTAAACCTAATGACCATATCAAAATCAATTTCTTTCATTTCCGACTGGTGATCGTGGATGCATGGAGGCCCAAAAGACCCAAACCCAGATACAACTTACCAAGAAAAATAAAAGGACAAAGGACAACGCCAAAAAAAAACAAAAAAACAAGAAAGGATTTGGTTTAGTAAGAGGATGTTTTAGAATTAAGGTTTTAGATTAATTAAGCTAAGAGATCAATTATTTAATGGAAGTTGAAAAATTATGGCATTTAATTAAGAAAAAACTGGAAATAAACAAAATTTTAGAAATTAACTAAATTTAACTGTTTTCTTTTTGTGTGTTTCAGTGAATTGGATCTCATAATAATTAGAGATAAGGGAAGTCCTATTCTTAATTAAGGGTATATAAGAATGTTACAGTAATTTTTTTAAAAATTACTTTAACTATTTTTAGCTTCATAATTTCTTAATCTGTAGATTTGGTCTTAATTTATATGATTTAGTTCAAAATATCTTATAAATAGAACCTGACTACTGAAATTTACCATCAACCATGCATCAATATAAATTTGTTTCTAGTTACTTACCTTAGGTTTAATTTCGTACAAATATATTAAACCAATTCTAATTTCGGTGGGACAATTCCTTATTTTTAAATAAATAAAAAAATTACAAAATATGCAAAGAAATCATATTTAACAAAATTAGTGTTA